AAATGAAAGTTTGAGAGTCCAGAGATCTAGACATACTGTCGTTCTATAGATCATCTCTTGACACATCAAAACAAATATCATCAGACTTGCACATACAATTATCTTTTTACAAACTTTAAACGTAGGTCTCATGTCACATTCAATGCACTGGTAACACTGAAGCGCATTTTTGGCCAGTTTGATGAAAGAACTTTCCGCATAATCTCCAACAGTTTCATTCGTCCCTGTTTAGAGTACGGAAACATAGTATTTCCTCTCTCACCCCCAAAGGATTAGGACACTATGGAACGTATCCAACGGCGAGACAAAACATCAGTTCGGCGACTCACACTCAAACCTTATGAAGAGCGCCTCCAATCACTGAACCTTTACCCATTAGATTACAGACGTCTCAGAGGTAACCTTCTAGTGGCTTACAGTATCCTAAATACTTATGAACACCCCCTTAAACATCTACTTAAGCTTAGTATCCATACAAAGCTAAGGAGTAACACTCAGAAACTGGAGACACAACACAGTAGGATGGACTGAAGACACAACTTCTACTCTTTAAGAGTCATTAAATGCTGGAATTCGCTGCCGTCCGAGCTAGCCCATGCGGCTTTCTAGGAGTCCTTATTAAGTAAACTTAAGTCAATTGACATATTCCTAAGGACTAAGTATGGTATCATACTATAATTTACCAATTTCTTTATCCTCTTTTGCCGACAATATACCTAGGTTCTTGCTTGGAGGTATTGCTAGTCAGTTGCTACTAGACACAGAAACCCATTAAGCGGAACATTTTGAACCAGATTTCAGACACAATTTGTACATTGAGGGCGCATATTTTAAATGGTGACCTAGTCCGGCTATATAGCTGCAAGCACTTTCACTGGTTGAATATCCTTATTATTAAATAGGTTTGTTGGGATATGGGAGGTGTAGTTTGTTCTGTCATTTCTTTTGCATAACCAAAATTTTTCAGTTGCACTATTTCCTACTTCGTTTCGTTAAACGAATATGTCATTGATACTCATCTGCACACAACTGACGTGAAACTTACATTTAATAAAGGTAGATTGCTAGCTCCAGTGAGATTTGTTTTATCGCTGAGCTTACAGATGGCTGCATCGCTCACCATCTTGAATTTAGAATTCTGAGGCATATGCTTAGTATTAGACGTATTGATACTATTTAGCTAAATGTTCGTGGTCCTAAAGTGAAATGAATAATGGCAAGTTCGAACTTGTAATGGATGTACTGAATTCTAGTTTGTATTGACAGCTATTAGTCACATGGAATCTGAGTTAACTTGATATATTTTAGTTCTTCATTGGATCGTTCGCATCCGTCTAGTGCCTTACGTCTCTCTGATGACAAGTATATTCATAGTGTCAATGGAAAATCAAATATGTCCTCATAAGGCTTTTCTTTAATATATAACGACGAAATGGACCACACAACTAAACATTATAAGTAAAAGGTACAAATTGATAATGTGATTATAGATGTATTAGTTGTGATGAAAATAGTAAAGGCTTGAATCAGTGTCTTATAACAGGAAGTAGTAGATCAAAGACTTGGAAAAATAGACATTGAAATGAAATTCATTAAAAACCAGCAAGATTACCAAATAAGAAGCATCCAAACAATTAGACTGAAGAGTATATTCAAATAAGGGATGAAGAAGAACAAACTCGGAAAGAGTATGGAAAATGATGAGTGAAATCACTTGTGAAGCCTAGTTGGGCCAAAGAAGAGATAAGGGTGTTGAAAATTTCTTATGATTACCGAGACGGGTTATTGGTTGGGATCACTATAGTTATTGTTACCTGTAAGAGACGTGGTTGAATCCCATAAAGAAAAGTGGTAGGTGTAAGACAAATTACTCTGAATGATTTAGTTTTATCTATTATATGACCACTGTTGACCAGGAGTGGTAGAACAAAGATTACTTATTGTTTTGATCATACTCTTTCCCAATCACGAACGTAACTGTTCTCTAACTCATTAACTAAGGTCGACTATTTGAACGTGCACCTCGTCTCATCTTAATAAGTACGGTGCTAGCACAAAAGTTACCCACAGGAAGACGTGTGTTGCTGGACTCAAGCAGTTTTCCCTTAGGTACTGTGGTCACGTTGTTGGGTCACTAAGACCAACTCTAACCCAATTTCCTTTTCAGGTACCTCTAGAATAACCCTTACGCTGTGTGGGCAACCGGGAAATAAAAACTGCCCTCAGATTCCCAACCACACTCAAGAGCACCCTATTTGATTTCTTCAAAAAACTTCGTCGGTAACTGATACAGTCAATATATTGCGAATAAACTGTAGTTACTTATTTATGATCTTTATCGAGCAGATTTTGCTGGCTCTATTTGCGAAGTGTCTTATTAGGTTTCTCTTGTAACAAATGGGTAAAAAGCTCAAGATATGTGTGCGAATGGTTTATTTTGTTGTTTTGTCACATGGAGTACGCTAATCGAGATATAGAAAGTATCCATCTGTTCAGATCTAGTTGCGTCCCACTTTTATGTTCATAAACAAAAGCCATTCTAGGCCGTTATATGTACCGGTAGCCACCATAACATGAAGTCGCTATAGTTTTTAACATTTCACGCTTTGTTCAATCCAGTATTTCGGAAGATTTATTTAAACCACCATCTAATTTAAAAATAAAGATCCCAGTTCAATATCTTCCTGTTTGTGTTCGTTCACTTGCTGAAAATATCTGATCGCGAACAAGTGGATCTTAAGTATTTTTAGGTAGGAGGATGGAGACTTTTGGATGTGTAAACTCAGTACTCCGAAATATTTTACTACTGAAAACGCAAATTTATGGAATAGGTAATACATGAAATTTTTAGGACGGACTTTTTCCAACCTTCATTTGTGAAAAGACAGTATCTATGTAGATGCTCGTTATCTGTAAGAAGCACTTTAATGCGGTCGTACCTTAGCACAGTAGGCAATACGACTTCGCCTTCGGGCCTTGAGTTTCTAATTTTAGTCCTACCCTTTTTCTAGCCGACCTGCCTAACGTGGTTGGACCTAAAGAGCCAAAAGTCCCACTCAATACATCTCGATTGGGTCATTATGATAGGCAAGCCCAACCGCCAAGTAAAGTTAGTAGTGACTTTGGATTTGACTGATGGACCGAGAAATCTTGCAAATGAAACGGTCCATTACCATATACATTGGTTTTACGCACACGGTTTCTAGTGTTTCTGTACAGATTTTTCTATTTAAAGCCCTCAAATGCCCTGGTATGGCCGAGGGTGGGGTGGGCCCGCCCCCTATCGAAATGCTCTCACAAGCCACGCGTATACAGCCTCTGTCAGGGGAGTCCCACTCACTGCCTTCTCGTGGCGGGGGTGTTGTTTACGAAAATGAGAGAATGAAAAGCGAATGTCCGGCGCTTTAACCGGATCCCAAACCAATGGTGCACATGGGCTCCAGCATCCTGAAGGAACAAATGGCGTATGAACCAATCGTTGGTCACCGGGTACCATGGGACTTCATCTCCTCATGATGCTCCACTGCCTTGTGGGTTAGACCTTTAGGTTAAAGGCTCGGGGTGTGGCCCCCTAAGAAAACCACCTGCTTCGGTCTGGGCACCTTGGCAGTATCACAGCCCACACACACAAATATGGTGTGGCGCATATATATTTGGTGCACTCTTCTAGCAATATCTGTGTTCAAGTAAATAGTAAAAGTAGTTTCTATTTAAAGCTCTGTTACTTGTTATTCGGTGTTTTGGACAAACTTCATTTCATATTTCATGGTTTAACATTTTTAGTTTATCTTGAAAAATTTACTGACTATATAGTTGGATATCTATTAGTTTAAGGCAATTCCATTTAAATTCTCAAGTTATCCACATGGTAAGTTTAAGTGTACCAAACAGTGAGCCTTCCTCTTCTTTTAGAGTTGCCGAAGCTTTTCCTGTGCATTTGAGAAAAAAGCCAAAACGGTGCATATTAAAGGAACTTATTAAACATCTACTTTGATGCTAACCTTTCGTAAACCCATTACGTTCCCCCTCTCCTTATCTACTAACTTTTTATGTCCGTATGGTCCTTCCGAATACGTTTAACCTCAACATAAATATTATACCCTATCACTACTCAACCAGTTTTCACTACTACTAATTTTCATTTATCTTGTTGAATATTCAGACTATCAATAGCTAGGTTCTTAGTTTCTCAATAAAGATAACATTTTCGTGCTATTTTTATTTTACCTCTCTGTTATTATGTTCAAAAAGTTATTGTCGTTATTACAATAATTACTATAACAGACGTATTAGTGCTTATCGTTTTGGAAAAGTATTTGTAACTGTACAGCCCTGAAAAGAAAGTCGCCAAAAAGAGAACTCTTTGCTTATCTAATCTTTCTTGATTTATATCTCAATGGTGGTACTCTGTTAATTTTGAACTTCGCTAATTAAATCTTTGTATTTTAAGTAGATTAACTAGGATTTAGTTACAACTGTGTAAATGTTTTCATTCCTTATTTATCTACAAATCTTAAGTTTTGATATTCATGCTTTTCATTTAGTCTCTTTGATTCATTGCTTTCACTACCGTTCATATCATTATTTGTATTTGTTCGTTTTTCATATCGTTCGTTTCCTAGCACTATGCTAATACATTATTACAATTTTACACAGCGTTATGTTCTAGGCTGTTTACTACTGGGTTAAAATAAATGTTTACCGTTTGTCTAATTCTCATGTAACCCATCTGGGAAGTATAGGTTTATATTCCCAAGTCACGTTATGTAATAGTTATGCTCCCCAGATACCCAGACCGTAGTAGATGATAGAGAGATTAAAATTGTAGCCTACTGTTTGAAAGCCATATTTAGTAAGTCACTACTACTTCAGTTGATTACACACAGATATGAAGATTGGTGCAATCTAACGATAAATTTCATCAGAAAGATTCATACACATCATTTTTGTTCATTATAATTAATCGAATTTAACTATTTAGATTTGTTTTGTTTCAAGGTATGTTACCACCAAATGACTTATTGCAACTGACGGATGAGGATGTAAAAACATTAAAGAAGTGCAGACAAATCTCATTTTGGAGAGGCAGTCTCCCATTCTCCATCGGTGCTCTTTTAGCTGTTAGTGCTGCTGATAAATATGGATGGTTTTCAAAGCGTAAGATGTTTCGTTTTCCATCTTATTTTTTCGGAGTTACCATTGGTTATTTCGTTGGGCAATTCAGTTGTGCAGGAGAATGTAGACGTATGTTTCTCCAGCTTAACAATAGTCGAATCAAAGATCAGATTCTTAGAATGGAAACTCCCGGAACATTTCAACCTACTCCTGGTTCACCTATAATTGTAAATACACCTGTAGAAAAACATCCACCTATGAATTATGAACAACGTAGACAGTTTTATAATAAGCAACGTGAACAATCTACATCTCCGTACCCCAGTTCCAAACCACCGACAACGATTGAAGAAGAGGATACAACATCCGATCAAACAAACTCAAGTCTATCGTACTTTGATAATGATAGACCAATTAGTTCATTTTATTATGATAATGATGTCTATCGACCTAAAGAGGAATAATTTGGTAACATAAAGAGAAATATGTATTTTGTGAAACAAACTGTTGTACGAATAGTAATATATTTAGTTGCTCTTATTTAATTTTTTTTAGATTTCCCTTCACATTCGGAGATATTTTTTGATTAGTAGCATATATACAGATAATAATTAATTTATCTATTCATTCATCCACCCAATTATCCTTGTTCGGTGCAGATTTCATAACTAATTGTAAATACACGTTTTGTGCGGAGTTTATTTGTTTATATGATAAAATTAAAGGGTCTGTACCGATTTTTGTTTCTAGGAGGTGTTACTCTTACTGAGACTTATTTGTTAAGTTTTTGTTTGAGAATTAACACTAAGACTTGAGAAGCTGTAGCTTGATTTTCTCAGTACGTTTATTAATTAATTTAAATTTACCTTACCGTTGCTTGGCAACAGTCCACGAAGACAATGACTGTTGAGCTGAGCCGTGTAAGTGGATGTAGACTACCTGGTCGAGGTCTGTGGTGTTATCGTAGCCAATGGTTATAGACTTTGGATGACGGCTGAAAATCATGCTCAGTAACGCAAGTATATTCATTTTTTGTCTTTCCTCAGGTCCTAAGTTAACTAATAAACCTTGTTTATTCCAATAATTTTTATTTTCTGTTAGAGTCGTATCTTCGATGCATAATATTTTCTCTTGCCAGTGATACTGTCACTACTTTCACTACTCTGGGATTTACCGTGAAAGTTCTATTTTTCAGTGCTAATGCTGTGTGGTAATTTGAACCGATGTATACATATGACAGGTTCTACGTTACGTATGTCTGTCTGAATAACTCATAACTCAGGTAGAGTCTAAAGAAATAATTATTTAGTATCTAAAATCTTTTCAATGCTCTATAAACGATGTGTGATATTATTCTTTTAAGCATCCCCACTTTCGTACTGTTAGCGGGACATAGATTGGATTAAAGCATGTTCCGTGCACGATAGTGTTGGTGTGCGCTGATTGGCTAATTCTTATCCAATCAGCGCTAGTCGATACTTGTAGGAGACTAGAATCTCATGGAAATACCATTAATATTCTGACGTTTTTCTTATTGTACTTCTTACTTCCATCTACCCTTGTTATTTGAAATGTAATTTCTCTCCTGTTCACCCGTTCTCTGATTTGGGAACTTGTCGAATAAATTAGTGTCCATGACTACTAAGCAATAGGAATAGCTGGGTCGTAATAAGAGAGAATTATAACACGTATCAAGCATCAAATGATTTGAAGATAAACAGTTTTATGTGCACAAACTACAAATAAATTAAAGATGAAATATAAGCAATGGTCTTTTTTTAGTAGCGAAACGCATACACTATTTTAATAAACATACCGAACGGTTATCATCCAGCTACTGGTTTCAAACTCTGGTATATATTTATACAAACAGCTTGAATTATTGATTCACATTTGGTCATGACACCTTTAATTAGTACTGTTTCCTTAAGTTTTAATTATCAGTTACTAATTGTATTATAAAATATAACTTTCCACGAGATTTCACCATTAAATATCAGGCTTACAAGTAGTTTTTTAAATTTTGACCTGTCAAAACATGTACATTGCTGGAATAAAGTGTAGTGTGTAAGCTACATTTTGCTTTACATATTGATGTAACAAGAACGAAGTGTTACTTGACAAAATGAGTTTGTTAGGATTTACAACTATGTGGGATATTGACTATTATTATTATTTTAATTATGATTATTATTGTCATTAATGTCCACTTTGGCTTAGTGGTATCATTTTAATTTCCAGATAAATTTCATTTGTACTGATTAAAAGAAAGAGAAGTTAATCGATATGAAAAGTTTTATTGCATTTGAAGTGTTAAATTATCGGATATAGTTCTCATACTTTCTAACGATGGTAAATTTAGCTTGTATCATGGATTGACTTCGGTTAGTGAGCCACTGATATCCAGGAAACCTGGGCAACTGTTTCGTACTAGTATAGGGCTCTTCAGCAGTACACACCCTCAAATTCTCTAGGGATCGAACCTAGAGCTTTCATGTGCTCCTACTAAGTTGGGACAGTAATTGACCAACGATGTTAATTAAACATCACGCTGTATTACTATATTAATTTGCGATACCAACTGCCTTCACAAATATTTCATAATGTTTCCATATTTCCAAATTTTACATTGAATATGGATCTACAGTAAATTCCCTAACATTTTTGGCTCATTTTTTTTTAGCTAGAAAGAATCCTTTTTGGTGAAAAGCATTGTGTTTTCTCAAATATATATAAGTTCTAATCTGAAAATAGGTTGTTATGAATTTATTTTCAGCCTTTATTAATTGTCTTCAGTAAATCTTCGACTGCAGCTTTATGTTATTATTTCTGTGACAAATGACTATGCTTTACCCTGAGTGATTGCTTAGAAATGACTAATGTTATGTTTTATAATTATTAGTACTGACTCAATACTAACAATCAAGTTGTACAGTATGATTGTTAGTTTAATATATTGTAGGTTATGGCGGAATAATCCTCTAATTTTGACTTGACTTAAATGTCTCTCATTTTCTATGCAAGTTATAACAATCCCATTTCATGTTGTAGCATATTCAATCAGATATTTTTACATTGATGAGGAAAAATCACCGGTAAAGTGAACAAATCACAAAGGCTGTCAGCATTACCATACACTTTTTATTCTTAATATACACTTGAGTGCGTCGTGATTGTTTATTTACCTGATCTTAATTTTTATCTTTTCACTTGTTCTAGTCCTTCACAACTTTTGACATATTATTATTTTTAAGTCTAACTATTTCTTGTCCGAGTAAATGTGCAGTTGACTGACTCGGTTGGTTTCTTCATTGTTGTTTGTAATCTGAGTCATGTAATAAACTGAGATTTGTAAGAGTGACCGTACCGTAAACGAATTGTTGGTTGGAAGTCACTTATAAATTGTTCAACTGAATGGCTTATTTAATGTTTTGGACAGTAATATTACGTTTTCTGACTATTTCCGACTCTTTATGATAGTGAAATGATGGATAGGCCTTAATTCATTGGAGAACAAGTGACTTTCAAAACTGATAATGTTCAATCGTTTGTGATATCTGACCATGTTTATTTACAGTGAATATTTTTTTACTACATGCATGCTATTTTAATAAATGGAAAAACTCTCCTACTGAACAGCTATTTTGTCTTCTAGTAGCAATTCAGTTAGTGTCCTGAGTCAATAATTCGGAACTTTGAACTATTAACATTAGGCTACATGGTATCATTACATATCATTTATCGATTAACACTATATTCATTGTAACGATTTAAAACCCCCTTTTCAAAACAAAGTGCTGTTACGAAAATTTTAAGTTTTCAGTTTAATATTTAATCATTTGTTTTTTCAACAAACAAGATTTTACTCTAATTGAGTACCATTTTCTGTGTTGTCAAGTTTCAATGTAGTGATTAAAAGTAGTATATTTGAATTATCCTCTAAATTGTATTACGAAAGATTAAGATTTTTTTGTGGAAGGATAAGAATATACCAATATATGAAACATATTGGCGACTGTTTCCATTTATTTACATACTGACATCGAAAATATCGCATTTGACCTTTAGATAAATAAAGCCCAATTCAACATCTAGTATGTTTGATATTGCTCCATAGTATTGATGGTGATACTTTGTTAATATGTAAAATTTTATAGTTTAGTGAATGGATCTTTGATTGTTAACACGAAAAAAGGGATGGTAGTCAATAGGGAATAATGTATGGTGATAAGAAGTGTGACCGAGTGATATCTGTTCATGAGATTGAATTGTTGACTTAAGGTGCCGAATAATTTGAGATCAAAAGACATGTCAGATGACCAGAAGAATTGGTATTTTATGTTAACAAGAAATAGTATGCTTATAGTACAAATACGAACACCAAGCAGTCATGATCAGATGACAACTCAGTAATTAGTTAATGTAGGTCAGAAATTAAGCTTTGATAGACAAAGCGTACGTTTTGTGAATACTTACGATTAAACAAACTTTCGATTTCGTTTATTTTTATGTTAATATTTTGTGTGTCGTCTTGACACGAAAAAACAATTCTTACTAATTATTTGTTAATTCTCCTGGTATCCTTTCATTTTTGGATAGAGTTAATAGTAGTTCGAAATCCGTCTGAAGGTAGTTAAATCCTGATTCTCTGCGACAATAGATATGGAATATGGATATTTTATTCTATATTGGGTCACATCGACTATCGAGGTGATCCGCACATACGCCGGCCAAGACTGATCACATCTCAGTCGAAATATCAACAACGGGATAATCCAAGTCACTTTAAAGTGAATTAAGAAATATGGAGGTTCTAGAATAGTTTGAAAATGTTTGGATAAAATTGTTCTGGATAAGTGTAACATAGTTTTCAACATTAAACTGGCCTCTTCAAATGCTTGTTGAAGGAAACACTGAATATTATCTGACAGTCAGACTATCAAATTTAATATAATTACGTCTGTATATACCATTATACACCGTCTCTTGTCAACACATTTTCTTATCATGAAGAGTTTGAAACCACCTTATAGTCTATCAAAAGTAATCACGATGGAACTTCAAACTACACCTTACAAAGTAAATTGTTTGGACTTATACGGTTCATTTTTAGTGGTAGAAATACAGTATCTTCACTTTGTCACACTAATATCATTCAGAAGAAATCAAATAGGAATTTATTTAGCAATAATTACACAATATAATGAAATATTAGTAAGGCACGTATTCGCTGAAGTTACCTTTAACATCGGTTATAAATGTAGAGTTGCTTAATTATACAATACTTCGTCAAATGTTCGGATATAAGACTTGATAGTTTTGCATTAATAAAGGCTTGTTATTTTATTTTAATGCGTTCTTATTCATTTTATACAAAGTTTTCTTATTTGAAAAACAATTGTTGTATGACATTTCGACTAAACTCTTCTAATATAACGCATAAAGTTGATCAGGAGTTAATCAA